GGATCAAAACAGGCCAATCATACATTACGGTTGAATGGAAACCTGTTCGTGAGTCGCGCGTCGATAGTGTTAATGCACTAACACTATCGACGCGCGACTCACGGACAGGTTTCCGTTCAACCGTAATGTATGATTGGCCTGTTTTGAACCTTTTTATCTAAAAAAAACTACTACTCGGAACGAAAAATGGCAAATAACTTTTTAATTTATTTTTTCGACGACTTTCTTGCTATGCTATTTTGATTCACGAATTTCAGGACACCCTGTATATGTGTACATATATATTCGAATTTTAAAATTTAATTCGTGACAGAAAGAACAGAAAGAGTCTTTCGGTATTGTCCGAACTAATTTGGTAGATGACCGGTTGAACCTTCTCTTCGAGACATATTGCCCGCGAAAGATCGAAAGATCTGAGCGTCGTGAGTGTCAATCTCTCGCTCTTTTTCTTTCCACCGTCATTCGTCTTAATGACAGCATCGTCCGTGATGTCTGCATATTACGAGGAGTATTACGTAAGAGGCGAGTGTATTAGATCTGTACGCAGATCGCGGTCGAGACGTCTCTTGCCGCTATCTTCCATTCGCATTGCTTCCAAGGCTGCGCCGTAACGGTTCAGGCCTAGTCTGTGGAAACGTTGGAAAGCGCAGCGGAAACATGCGCTCGTGAAGACGCAACTCCGGTTGAAAGACGCAAGACGAAATTCTTCGATTACAAAGTACATTAAATGTGTCCGTGGCCGAGTATAACAATTGTGCACAATCGATAAAGAAAGAATTGACAATGAATAGCAATTCTGACACGCTTTCTCTCGAGCGGAACGAAGAGAGTTGTCGAAATTGACCAGCAATGCAGCCCGTTAAATTGCTCGAGTTTCTGAATTATGTATCTGGATTAACGCGCGGCGACTCGTGCGTGCATAAATCCGCTCGCGATTTTCGCAAAGCGAGCGTTTAATGTTTAATGCACGCGCAACGTGCACCGATCCGCTCTGTTCTCTCCGTTCCAAGGAGGCTGTGATCTTTAACGACGTTGTGTCGCACGAATTAATGGAAATTACGAGTTAAATCGATCTTCCGGAATAAGGAACGACGTAACTGCGTCGCGTCGTTCGTGACAATAAAAAAAAATGCAAGCGTGTCACGAACCTACGCGGAAATAACGGCGTTTCCAGCGTATTATTGATGACAAAGATTCTTTCCCTCCACACGGAAAGACCGGCCAAGGCAAAAATAACTGAAATGAAAATGTTGCCGTCTAAATAGCAGGGGCATCTACATTGTTTTGTGTCGCAACGTTCACTAAGTTTGCTGCACAAAACGCATAGTTGTCTCCACGACTTGTCATACCAATGTTTGTATGACGACTACAGATATAGCTGTCCCAAATATTACTATTTATTGGGGTTGTGCCAACCCTAATCAGACATGTGGTAATTCCATATCGGTCTCTCCGTGCAGCGACAATGAGGCATATAGGACGATCGCGAGTTGAATTTGACAGCTTCACACAAACAACAGTTTTCCTAAATAATTCATCTTTGTAACTGAAAGTTCACAACTGAAATTTAGTCGCCACGTACAGTTTTTAACTACGGCAGCTACATTTTTCTTTCCGCATAGACAAATTGAAAACCGTCTCTGTTCTTAACAGGTATTATAGCTCGGCCTGGAATCTCGAAAAAAGTAGCAAAATAGCTAATCGAAGATTGACGCTGTGAGCTTTGAAATCCACCTGACATATAGAAATCGCGGAAATTGCAAGCCGGCGCCTCTCGTCAATCAAACAGTCGTCAGGCAATTTCATCTGTGGAAAACCTCCTCGGAAATGAATATGTATTTCTCCGGAATTCCGTGGCACGAGATGTATAATTTAATCGCTATTATATTAATCGTTTTCGCTTAACGAGATGTTCATCGCGTCTAGCAGACTCGTGATCGATTTCTCTTTACTTTGACTCGCGCGCGAAAATCGTTTCGCGCCATAAAGAGACGTACGTAAAAAAAAAGATAAAGAAACGCGACTTCTACAGTAATAAATCGTCTTTAGTTAAGTATGCATGATCGAGACAGATGATCGTTCTCGCGTCTGTCACAATCGCTCGTCACGCTGTCAATATTGCCAGGCGCGATTTATGACAATACGCAATTCGAGAGCATAATGGAGCAATCGCGTGTAGATCGCCACGAAGGATACGCCGAGGATCACGCCGCGGATCACGCTGTCCACGTCCTCTCGACGTCTCCTTCCTGAAGAGAGACGCGTGTACCTGTTTTCGCGCAAGTGTCGATTCGTAACACCGCTCTCCGCGGCTGCCAACGGTGGCCGTGGCTTCGGCCGGGCCCAGAAATCCAGCAAACGTGTTCTCAGGAATGTCGTCCCCCGAGGTGGAGAACACTTGCTGTCGAGCCGAACGTTTAGCGGCGTCGGGAGATTTATTTCGCGAATTTCTTATCGACACAACGGTATCGGCCGTTACGTCGTCCCTAACTTCTCGCGAGTCCTCGCGGATTACGTTTGCCTGGTTTGTCCCAGCTTTTAACATCGGGCTTATATTCGTCGCGATAACGTCTCTCTCGTTCCTACGACATCCATTAATTCCGCGATGAGCTTTTAAGATCTCATTGTATTCCGGAACATTTGTTACAATAATAAGGTCAAATTTTGTGCAACCTTCTAGATTAACGTCAGTATTTTCTTGACTATACCTGGCATTTTTAATAATACAGAAAATTTATTACGAAAAATATTACCTCAGCCAGGGTTTGAACCTGCACCTGCCTACGCTCTAGGCGGGCGTCTCACCAATTCGACCACCGAGGGCACATGATAATATTTGTCGCAATAACAGTATAAAGATGTCGTCAACGCGTCTATTTCGACTTTCGGGAGTTCTAGATTCTAGTTCTAGAAGTTCTAGACTTTTGTGACTTCTAGATTAATTTTAGAAGTTCAGATGCTTCAGGTACCAATCGTCATTCTGTGATAAAACGGAGAAAGCTGACAAATAGAATGTTCAACAAGCTTCTTTAGAGCCTGTAAAACTTTTCGATGTTACGCCTGCCATTAATATTGAATATTCTCACGTGAAATCGTTATACGAAAGTAAATTTCAACTGGTTAATCTCCAAGTTTTCATTGAACAAAGTACCGTTCCGCGTGCGACTTTTACAGCGCGTAAATCTTCCAGGCTGCGATCTTACTAAAGATTAGCACTTTGACCAACGCAAGAATGCGATGGACTTTTTTCCCTCTTTATCGTATCAACGAAAAGTACCAGACACGTAACACGCATGTCTTACGTTACTTGTACATTACGTTAAATCAAATTAAATTCTCTCATTGACAAAACAGAATACTGCACATGATAAATTTTTTCCGGAGGTCGAATTGATGTACATTTGCCAACATTATTAAATCCGCCATTCAACAGATTCATGGTAGCGAAAGAAAACCTTTTACGTAAATCAATTCTCGTGTAAAATAATTTGGGTGTCGTTTAAGATATTAAATCTCGCTCTTTATGTCATCGTGAAAAATACCGCGGCAAAGTAAGCGGATTTCCTATTAAATATGAAAGATATTAGCTATTATGCGGCCCGATCGTTGATTTATTGCGGATAATGTGAAATGCGAGTCGAATCGTACGTCACCCGGTGTCCGTTCATCTAATCGTGGCGCAGAACGATGAATGAACACGACTGGAACACGCGGCACCGTTCAATGGCAGTGTGCGCCAGTGGAAGTTTGCTAATTGCGCAACCTGTTTCCGCGTGGCTCGCGCTGCACGGACGCTGAATAAGTACGTGGACGGTACAATCGCGATGATAATTAATCGCGGTCGTCATTAATCCCCATCCGAGCGGGCCGCGCTCTTCCTCTTTGCGAATAGCGGCGCAAAAGTCCGCCGGAAAATCATACGTTCTAAGCGGCAGCCGATCATCATTGTCCATTCGCGTTTCCCGCTCTTTTGTTCGCCTGACTCTTGACTTATGCCGCATTACGTGCATCGCGCGGAATTATGTTCGACGTAAAATATAACCGCGCGGATTACTGTGGTAGTATGTCACACGGCCAGTACACGTGAATGGCATTGTCATCTCGAAATAAATTTCGAACAATTTTACATTTTGACAGTGAGAGAGAGAGAGAGAGAGAGAGAGGGGGGATCAGGCACAAATGCGTATTAATCGTAATTAACAAATGTAGATGTTTGTACTATTCATCTAAAATTGATAAAAATTGCGCAGATTTTCCTGACAGCGGAAAAGCGAGTGAATGAGAATTCCTGCATTACCGCTGAAACGTATTATTAGATGAATCGGCCGGCGGTCGCAATTTTGTCTTCCCGGAATCAGACCGATTACCGCGCGCACTTGCTTTATTTCTGCACGTTTGCGCCTAACCACTTGCTGGAGGCTCATTGTTACTCAATATAAGCTAATAAGTCGATAAAACCGCGGAGCGATTATATTTTAACGGGCTTCTCAAGGGGACTTACGGATGTTCATGATATCCTTTAATTGTCTTCCAGGTACGGTGAGAAGCAACGACGATCGGACAGCCAAGAATTGAGCGGCATCCAATTGCTCTCAGCTACGGCCTACCAGCTGAAGAAACCTTACCAGCAACTGCTGATACCCATCACGATATGGATCGGCATGGAGCAAGCTTTCATCGGCGCCGATTTCACGCAGGTGGGCTCTTCAAAACACGCGTAAACGAATTTTAAACGGCCCCTGCGCCACATTTCTAAATCTAGTGAGAAATGCAGTTTCTAAATAAGATCCGATGTTTGTTGGAAAGATGAAATAGTACTTATATAGTATATAATTTTCTATACACATGCATATGCATGAAATATTTGTAGTGATCGATATAACATTCCAAATAATTGATAAAAAAATAATTTAATGGCCTTCTGACACAGGCACGCTTGTAATTTTTACAACAAGTCGTTGGAGAAAGATGAAATAGTACTTTTATATAATTTTCTATGCAATATCTTATGCATATTTGAAGTAATCGATATAACATTTCAAATAATTCATAAAAATATAATTTAATGGCCTTCCGACACAGGAACGCTTGTAATTTTTACGACAAGTCGTAAAAAGAAACCACTTCTTCTTTGTCAGCGGAAAATGACGAATTTTCTACCCCCAGAAACACTTTGGAAATAGACTATTTGTACAATTAACAATGATCCTCGTCGACCTAATGCATAGTAAAATGTGCAAACGAATTTATCTATCACGGTAGATGGACTCGATCGTGTGCATTAAAACGCACGATACTTTCTAATGTCAGTTCCGATCGCTCGCCGACATATAAATCGACGCCGGTCTCTCCCTTTCGTGCACATTGTACACCGCAGTCGCCGGTGAAACAATGGCATTCCATTTTGCAATCTACACGGCTGGCAGCGTGTATCAACCTTTTATTACCTCGCGCGCACCCGGGACCACGTGTTCTCGCGAGGCATTGATAAGGAAACGGCCGTCCTTGGCTTCGTACCAGGATCCGACATTAACGAAGCTGACAATGACGTCAGTATCTGACTCCGTAATTACAATTCGAACTCGGGCCGTCATCAGGCGGAGCGAAGAGGCGAAAAAAAGAGACGAATAAAAAAGCCGAGTTCCGTATTCTCGTTTATAGCGCTCCTTTCTTAGTCCCGGGCACGTACAGCCAACTGTATTTATGGCGTTGCAGACCGCGCGCGGAGATTTATCGACGTCGCCCCGCGATAACGTTAAACCGCCGCGGACGTAATTATTTGTCATGACGAACGACAGTCTCCGAGAAAACGGTAAAATCTCGACCGCTGGAGGAATATTTCATCATTGAACGTACAACGGCAGACGTGTTGTTACAAAAGCTGCCAGTAGTCCGTGCAAGAACACGAAAAGAACATATCCGGTGTCAACGTCAGAGCTAGAATAATGATTCAACGCGTCGCGCGTTATTTCTTGTCACTGCAAGATCTGTCGATTGGTTTACGGGCACATTTAACAAAGACATTCGCAAGTGCTTGATCATTTCTTATGTAAAATTATGTAATCGTCTCTCGTATACGATTGCTCGAGAGGAATTTTATCTATCTCGGAGCGCATCCCAATCGGATGCTGAGAGAATCTACGGTTAACCTACTTCCGACGAAACCCGAGGCTACAAGGATATCTATTTTTTTTCATTATATATATTTCATTTTATATTTATATTTATATATAATGGAAGCCTCCGGCCGGTCGTCGAGCTCTGTAACCGGTCGGTCTCTCCGTAGATTTTCTCTTTTTGCAGGCTCTTTAACTGGCGCCAGAGTCTGTCTTACCCGACCGGTCTTCAACTACCGCGAGCCGCGACGACAATCTTCGTTATCTTTGCTGATAGTGGGAGTACTCGCGGTGTGGAAACCGGTAGACACTTTTCTTTTCCTCGGCACGGAAATTTGCCGACCGGAATCGTGAAGCCAGCGGCGTGCATCCTTTTAAATTGTTTAATCCGCTTCAATCGTCGCCTCCGATACGGAGATTTACTCCGCCAGCTCCACTTTCTATGAAATTAACGTCAATTTCCGTTCGACAGATTCTGAATTAGCTCTTATGCCTATACACTTGACGTCATAGGTAATTTATCATGGCAAGTCCATTTGCATCTTTTTTTCACGCTTTAATGTATCTATTCGAAAATCTTGGTGAATAGTAAAACGATTGGACGAGGAACATATCTGCTAGAGCTCTTAGCTTATAACTGTTTCATTAATAAAATTTCTCTAATTTCTATAATTTCATTATAGACACAATTGATCCTATCAACTGACACTCATGCGCAATGAAATGTCTTACAAGAGGTCGCGACATTCGAAATCGAGTGTGCGACATGAACACTCAGTCAGAAATTACTCGTCGATCGACGTCGAAACGCTGTCGAATCGACGTCAATATGGCGGTTTCGATGTCGACGCGACATCGTTTCGACGTCGATCGACGAGTTATTTCTGGCTGGGCAGGAATGTAAGAAACAAAACGAAAATGTAATACATTACTTAAACTTAGCATCTGTTTTCTGTGGATAGAATGTGCCTGAGCACTTGGTGCAGGCATATTGACCTGCTGGTTGCCAAAGTTCCATGGGAGTCTTCTCAGTGCGTATTTTTTGGTTATTTTATCCGAAAAGTAACATTACCACGGTAGAGTATCACGAAAATGTATATTTATATATTTTTCCTCTCTTCGAAGCCTTTCGCTCGATTTCTTTTCGCACGCTATGCCTCGGATAACGAGTCGCGATCAACAAAACGTAACGAAAGATCGATCTGGATCAGCTGGACACGCGCCAGATGTGGAACGCCGGTTTCTCGATGCGTGACGGCCACGAGGACGCACGATCGTCCTCCGGAAACACGTGTTGTCGATTAGAGATACGGGATTTGCGGGAACGAAGCTTGTGTTAACTCTTTCAACGGTGACTTTATTGAAAAGTGAGTTACGCGCAAAGTATATGATTAAAAACAATCTGATATCGATGGAACACAATAAGTCTCTGTTACTAATGAGATATACTTCATAAACTTGTATTGTGAGACAGTATACAGGGTGAGTCTTTCCATATCCGACAAAATTTTTGAGAAGGTAGAACGGATCGAGATGAACGGAAAAGTCCTGTACCATTTTGCAATTTTCGTAATAGTTAACGAGTAATTAATTATTAAAAATCGTTGTCTTAGGCCGGCCTACCGCCCAATTCGAGCGCGTGGCAAGATGTGACCGCCCGGCGATCGATATTGCTATGCGCACATCTCGCCACGCGCTCGAATTGGGCGGTAGACCGGCCTAAGACAACGATTTTTAATAATTAATTACTCGTTAAATATTACGAAAATTAAAAAATGGTACAGGACTTTTCCATTCAT